ACAGTACGAGCAGCTCACAAGCTCAGTTGGGCTTGAGTTTGGCTCGGCCGAGCTTGAGCACTTCTAAAGCTCGTTACGAGCTGCTTGGCTCGAGTTTGGCTCGACCGAGCTTGATCTCCTTTAAAGCTTGTTTTGTTGATAAGACGAGCTCAATTCGGCTCGCTAATGCTCTAATTTTTATTTTTTTTTTATATAGTTTGGCTTTTTTTTTGGTACAAGGACCTTCCGGTTTCCGAATCCACAAGGGTACCGATTAATCTGGAATCGAGCCGGGTAGGACTTCAAGGACGGCAAAGCTCTCCCTCAAGAGTTTTTAACACTGTTGCATAGTTTTATATATACTTTGGCTTTGACTCGTTAAAACTATTTAATTTGGTGGTCTAGAATTTGAATATTTATATATTTTTCTTAATTAATTTGATGTAATTTATTCGACCTTCTTTCATCTCTTATTCTCTTACACCTGCTAAGGAAAAGTACAAAGATAAGAAAGAAAAAAGAAAATGTGGCAAAAACCATGTGAAACTTGTACCTCATGCAACACCTGACGCATGCAGCCCAACACGTTGCACCCTCTGCATCTCTTTTTATACCTCGTTTTCCCAGCCCAAATCCACCCCAGCAACTTCCCAACCCAACCTCTATCAAATTACTCAAATACCCTCCTCTCCTCAAACCCAAATCCTCACGCTCCGCCGCCAATGGCCGACCGCGACCGCCCGCAGCCCCACCAGATCCAGATCCACCCCCAGCCCCACTACGGCCGCTACGAGGGCGGCGCCAAGTCCCTCCTCCCCCAGAAGGGCCCGTCAACCGGCCAGATTCTCGCCGTCGTCGCCCTCCTCCCCGTCACCGGCACTCTCCTCGCCCTGGCCGGCCTCACCCTCGCCGGTAGCCTCGTCGGGCTCGCCGTGGCCACCCCACTGTTCGTGATCTTCAGCCCCGTCCTCGTCCCCGCCGCCATCCTGGCCGCCGGTGCCGTCGCGGCGTTCATGACGTCGGGGGCCTTCGGGCTGACGGGGCTCTCGTCCCTGTCGTGGGTCGTGAACTCGTTCCGGCAGGCGACCGGGAAGGAGCCGCTGGATTACGCCAAGCAGCGCTTGCAGGAAGGGACCGTTTATGTGGGCGAGAAGACCAAGCAAGTTGGGGAGACGATTAAGAGCAAGGCTGCGCCGGAGACCGGAGGGCGAGAAGGTGGAGCTGCCGGCCGGACCTGATGATCGGAAAATATAAAACACTGGATAAAATCAATAAAAGATGGAGAGATGCGCGAATATGTTATTAATTTGTTTTTTTTTTTTTTTTTT